CCCCCCCCCGGGGTGTGTGTGGGTGTCGTGCGAGTGGCTTCTGGCAGTGGGGGACTCCTCCTTCAGTGAGGAGGAATTCCTCTTCCACTCCCTAAGGAAATTGTTGGTTCGCCCGTAATTTCAATGTTGTATGATGTTAGGTGACCTTTATCTGCTCTACGGCCCTAAATCCAAAGATTTGCAGACTCAGCAAAAGAGCCAGGTAGAAATCCAGATTGCTTGGTTTGGTTAAGTTGTTCCCTTAGTAAGTAACTCCAATGGCAGTGCACAAATTACGTGCAGTTGCAAGCAGACACCAGCACCTTTTTTCTCTGCTTCGGCTTCTCTCAAAGATGCACATTTGGACCCGGGCCCCCTTCTTCCCTGGAGGACACCACTCCAAAGGGGAATTTAGCCCCCCCCCAGGACCTCTGTACCAGCCAGGAAGGACTTCCATAGCTGTGTTAGGAAAGAGACAGAGAGCAGGAGACTTAGAGATCTGAAAGAGATCTTGTACAGCTTCTCTTGTACAGTGGTCATCGGTTCTGCTCTTCAGGCATGCGCAAAAGCTGTTTTACCAAGCTCAATCTGTATTAAAATAACGCTTAATCTACATTACCGGGCACCTTGGCACGTCTGCCAGGGGCAGAGGGGGTCCTCAAAAGCACCCACCACAACAACCTCAGCTGGATTGTGTCACCATGGTGAGGCCTCCCACCTCTTTAATACACGCATGCAATGTCATGTCCCATGTACAAAAGGGACAGGGCAATGCACTGCAATTTCGCAATGCTGCCTTGGACCAGGGGTGATGTAATTTTGGGTCAGGGCCAGCAGGCAGAAGGGCCAATTCTTTCTCCAGGCAATCTCAAGGTGACAATGCAGCTTCATAGTAAGGCTTCTGGATGCTGAACCATCATTATCTAAAGCCAGGAATACTTTTTTATGCCCTGGCCCCAAGTGGAAAAATGAAATTCCTAGTAAATATTTCAGCCTACATGAGTCTCATCATTTTCAGCTAAAAATTCTGAACTTCAAATGAAAGCTTGGATCTAATCAGGGTGCAATGTAGTCGACTTCACAGAGAATTCTGATTATGGGTTTGGGTTTTTTTTCAGATTAAAAAACATTGCAAAATTAGACCCTGACATACTTTCATGTATTTGGTTCATTCACAGCCCAAATATACCAATCTCTATGTATCTCCATCTGAAGGCCATTGATTTCTTCTCTTGAATTAGGAACTGATCTATCCAAGCCTATTCAACAATTTAGTCAGACACAAGGCTGAACTCCAAAGAGCAACAAAAACACTTAGCAGCAATTCTTTTCAACAAAAAGTGAATTATCATGAAAGTGATTAACAACGTGCCATCAAGATCTCAGCGGAGGAAGCCATTATAATCAGAGCCGATGCATGAAGTTCATTACAGGTGCCATTAAATTCCAGGCATGAAATGAAATCTGAGTCACGCCAAGGACAAAGGTAGGGAAAAAGAACGGATAAAATATTACAGCCGTCTCCTCCATCTCATCCGTAGAAGAAGCGGATGTCTTAGAGAGAGAGAATGCTCAACTGTGGATGGACTGATGAATGAAAGGTTGATGCTATGGCCTAAAAACACTCAATAAAAATGGAAATCAGCCATGGATCCATCAGTCATGGACTCTGAACCTACTGCTTCTCTCCTAAATCCTAAGGAGACATTACTACATTACTACACCTGACCCCAGGAAGTGGACTTTGATTTTATCTAGAATATTCCACAAAATATTACCCAACAACTTCTCTTTTTCCACCCGCATCCTTCCATTCCCGGACATCCCTCACCCAGAGAGAGGCAGGATACAGCCTTTTCGAAAACCTAAAGCAGAACCTGAGGGAGAAACGCTCTCCGGCATAAGCAAGGTTTTGACGACTGCTCTAGACCAGCCTTTCTCAACCTGGACAATGTTGGCTTGCTGGCTGGGGAATTCTGGGAGTGTGAAGTCCGCACATCCTGAAGTTGAGAAGGTTGAGAAACTCTGCTCTGGACCAGTGCTTTCCCTGCCGCTTGGCTGCCAGATCCCTCCCCTTGGTCCTCTCCCACTGTCGTCCTGCACTCTGAAGAGGGGTTCCAGCCGTGCCATCTCCTCTGCTCTTGACTGAGCCACCATCGGTTGGACTGGTGGAAGCTTGACTGGATCAAGACGGCGATGACCATCCTCTGTGCTCTATTCTGAATTAACCAGGTATCTGACAAATTATCTAAAGTTGTAAAGAGCATCATTCTCAATCAGACTGTAAGGAGTGAACATGTATGGAAAGAGACAAAGTCTCTGGCAAACCGCATCCCTCAAGAGACGGCATTCACTCACGCAAGCCTTTTCTGGGAGCCTGAAGCAGCTCATCCTCCTAGGCCGTAAGGTTTCCTAAACCAATATATATCTGAACTCTACTTACTTGATGAATGCTGGCGGCATATCTCTCTTCAAAATCTGGTCTTCGGTTGTCTGAACGGTTTCTTTTCCCACCTGCATGAGAAGAGATTCATTTCTGTCACTACCATCGGTACAAGTCGCATTTAGTACACTCAGAAATAGCTCTTCCAATTCCCAAGACTGAGATAGTGTGGCAGAATTCCGCCAAATAAAAACAAATGAGCTAGCGGTAGAACACAAACTGCTGTCTTACTAGTATTATTAAAAATATTTCTATATCACTTTATTTATTTATTTGATGATCTCTAGCCACCCAACTCCACCAAGTGACTCTGGGCAGCTTTCAATTCTAAAATTGTAAAACAATTAAAGAAATATAAAAATACATTAAAACAATAAAAGCATCCACAAAAATAAATAAGTACAAACAGCAGCCATGACGATTAATCAACCATCACTTTTTGTTTGGGCAAGCCAACCAATGTGGTTCACAGCAGTCTTTAAAACACCGTGCAGTGTACAAATCAGACGTTTGCTGTTCAGCAAATCATTGAAAAGTGCACGAAAGTAAGAAAGAATTTTATTTCATAGCTGTTAATTTAACAAAGTGCAATAGAGTGAACAAAGTTGCATTACGGAACGTTTTGCAGATATATTGTTTAAGCTCGGTTCTTCACTGGGATCAGAAAAGCACTTAATGGAAGCGAAAACATGCACAAGAATGGAAAACTAAGCAGATTGTTCAACTCTGAACAAATTGTAAGACAAAGATAAGTGATGTACTCTTGGGTGTTTAATAGGTTCATAAGAAATATTTATGATGATGTCAGAGATATGTTTGTTGGGCATATGAATGTTAACACACTTTCTATGCCGGTGATCTAAACTGCTGCCTGAAAACCCAGATGATTTGCAGCGAATATAAATAGGCTGCATGATGAAACAAGCCATATAAACACTAATCTGTCGGAGACCGAGGTGTCCAAGAGGAAAAAGGAATACAGATGTATAAATATACATAAATAGTGAGAAAGTAAAGCAAGCAGATGGATACGTTCATCCTGGTGGAATGTTTACTAATGGTTTACTAATGGGCTCAGTTGTGGCTGAGGACTACCTGCATATAGATATGCATGCATATTTTTAATAATCAAAACTGTTGAGTAAAGTTAAAATTTACAGGAATATAGGAAGTTAAAAATTTACTGTTGTAAAGGATTTCTCTCTACCATCCTTGATATTCAAACCATCCGTGGACCAGCTAAGTCAGGGATCCTCAACCTTGGCAACTTTAAGACTTGTGGACTTCAACTCCCAGAATTCCTCAGCTGGCTGAGGAATTCTGGGAGTTGAAGTCCACAAGTCTTAAAGTTGCCAAGGTTGAGGACCCCTGAACTAAGTGATAAAGGAACACATACCATTCATCCCAGCTAAGTACTTCATGAAAAGTCTATTTACTTATTTTATTCATTCATTTATTTTCTGTAGCTGCCAACTCAACCAAGTAACTCTGGGCAGCTTATGGTCCTAAAATTAGACAGCAATTAAAAAAAACAATACAACAGTAAGAACATCCAGAACACGGATTATGAATATGCAAACCCCATCACAGCTGTGCCGTCTGCATTCACACGAACTCCCCAGTTCAAGCACAGTTCAGTTTGCCCAGACTGGCCGGGGACCCGGAGTCGGTCACGTGCCTCGCCCGTTCCATTCAATCCAGAGCCCTGACTTAACAATAGCCTGATGGGTCAGATGGACAGAATGTTCTGCTCTCTATCAGCAAACTCATCCTCAGATATCTCTAGAGAGGTATCTGTGGCTCTGTTGGGAGGTACCTGGAATAGACTGGCATTTTGAATCACATATGCACACAGTTTGTAGGCCTGTAGCGCTTGATGCTTCTCCTCTCTTTCATTCTGGTCTTTTGCTAAAAAATAAACTGCATGCAGGGATCACATTAGTATGCCATCTGCTTTCCAACCCATTGTCATCATTTATGTTAATGGTTTCCATCTTCCCGCAAGAGCTCCTGCGATTAAAAAACCCCACAATCTGCACAGTGTCTCAAAACTCAAGGTATTGCCAAAGGAAATGAATTTTAGAGCAGAAATCAAGGGGGAGTTTCAAAATAACAAGGTCGGATGATTTGGGAAAACAATCCAAAGAAATGAACTTCAGTCAGCCTTTGACCAGCAAAGAATGAGCTTTTGACACTCAAATTTATATTCTGCTTCCTGAAATAGATCGGACATCTGGCTGTGTGTTACCAGAATAGCCCTCTTGAATATATTGTGCTCCACGAAAGAAAGGCCTCAATAGCCGTGCTAACTTCTTACTAACTAGGACGAAAATGCCATAACACAACTGCAGACGGCTTACTACTTGCAAAAAGAAAAATGCCTCCAAAGCAATCCTGAAAAGAAACATCCACTTAGCTGTTATCCAAACTTTTGGAAAACACTTTTTTTTACAAATTGTGACTATAAAAACTTAAAAGAAAATCATTTTGCATTTTACAAATACTCAGAAAATCGTCACTGAAGAATGCTAAAATCCATCCCTTACCTTTCATAATGGTTGACATTGCATGAGCTGAGTATATGATTTATGGGATGGGATGAGATGGGAGAGAAGGAAGGAAGGGAGAGAGGGAGGGAGGGAGGGAGGGAGAAAGAGAAAGAAAGAAAGAAAGAAAGAAAGAAAGAAAGAAAGAAAGAAAGAAAGAAAGAAAGAAAGAAAGAAAGAAAGAAAGAAAGAAAGAAAGAAAGAAAGAAAGAGAAAAAGAAAATATTTTAAAGGGCCAGCACATCTGTTAACACTGACCAAAAACATTCCCATGCAGATCTTTCAAGGCTGGGCTCTTCCAGCCTCCCCTGCCCTCTGCCAAGGCGCCCATCCCTGAGCACAAAGGCCCGCACTGTTGGGCAGATGTGAGCTCCCCTGGCGCCCTCGGCTGAGCCGAAAGGGCTCGCTCTGTGGAGGAGGAGGAGGAGGAGGAGGAGGAAGAGGCGCCAGAGTCACACTCAAGACTGACTGTGGCCCATTCATCGGGACGAGGGAGCCGGATCTGGTCCCAAGAAGAAACCGAGTGGCGAACACAAAGAACAGCTGCAACGTCTCCAGACACTCCAGACGGAGTTGAGAGAATCTGAAAACGGGCCAAGCGGGAAAGACCCGGCTGAGATATTGGGAACGCTTCTCTTTCCTTCTAAAGCAGGAGCCGGTCCGAGGAGCTGCTTACTCTGGAAACAGCACGCTTGCTTCCACTTTGGGAAGACAAAGCCTCCCGGCAAGAGGAGACGGGCAGCGCCCCCCCCCCCCCCGGCCTGGCAGCGCCTCTGGATAGCGCCAGAAGAAGGTGCTCTCGGTCAGATCCTGAGAGAGGCTGAAGGAAGCAGAAAAGGAAGACATAAAGCCTCTCTTAGAGGTGCTCCTAAGCGTGGAGGTCACTGGGCGGCGAGGGGGGCTCCCTCCTCTCCAAAAAGGGACCAAGTGACCGCTAGGCAGGGACTCTGTCATCCCCCCACCAAGACTGCCCAGATCAACTCCAGAAGGAGATCAGACTTCAGCTTCACTGAGATTAGCCATTATATATTGACCAAATCTTGCAAACCTGACGGTGGCTTTTCCCTCTTTTCCCTCTCACACCTCAGAGTGAGTCTAGGAAGGAGAAGTCAGTCCGAGCCTCTTCCTCATCCCACCTCCTTCCCTGGGGCTTCAGGAATGCTTCCGCCCTTCCGAACGTTGCCCTCAAGGCCATCTCCACGGCCCTGTCCAGGTTTTAGGGATATAAGAGGAGTCAAACTGTCCCAGCCTCTGGATTGTTCCTCTTGGGATTCCCGGGCAGTTCTAGGATGCTGTCAGGTCCCAAACGGTTCCCTATTTTACTTACCTTCCTTCTGTCCTTCCATCTTTGGGACCTGCCATCCTGTTGCGGGAGGGGGGCAGCCCAGCATTACTTGCACATTTGTATTTGCTCGCCAGTTCTGTCTCCTTTCCCCGACTGCCATGGGGAGGGGTACGGTAGGTCTCCGAATCGGAGATGAGCCAGAGGTCAGCGAAGCCAAGAAGTCTCTCGCGACAAAAGCAACGGCTGATCGCCCCCAGACGCCAGCTGACTGGATACAATTCAAATCCCCGTGCAGCTTTGGTGGAAGGGGTTTACGCCTTGGGTGACTATATGGTGTTAGCGAGCTTTTACCTCAGACCTCACCTTGATCCCCCACTGTTACTGACCCCCCCCCCAAATAAAAGAATCCTGTCTGAAGCAGTGATTGCCTCAAGAGTTCGAATTCTTGGGGGGACAGCTGAAGTGGGTCCTTACAGATGCTTTGCAAGCCTCTTCTTCTTCTTCCTCCTCCTCCTCCTCCTCCTCCTCCTCCTCCTCCTCCTCCTCCTCCTCCTCCCCCCTCTGGGAATGGGCCCTATTTCAAGTCGAAGCAATGAAAGCTGCCGGACAGCCCTATCCTTACTTCCGTGAACGAGACATGAATTATTAAAAGAGCTTATTGGAACAATACCTGTTTTTTTTAAAAGAGGTTTGCATTATTAAAAAAATAAGAGTATTTTATGGGAGGTGGAAGAGCCTTCACGAAGCAAAGTATCGTTGTTTTCAGAGAGATTCTGCCTTTATTTTCTCAGAAGGAAGTCTCAGTGAATGAAAAAAGAGCTTACTTCTACAGACTATTGTTTCATTCATAAAACATGCCACAAAGAAGCAAAGCTTGCCATCCCTGAATAAAGGGCCATTATACAGCAGACTTTCCTGCCCCCTCATTGTCAATAGCAATTTTCATTTCTTTATTTTATAACGTATGTGTATAAAACTTGAAAGTTTGCAGTTGAGGGGTAAGCTCTAACCCAGGAAGAAGGAATGTCCTACTCTCCACGTAGCTCCTGGGATGCTAATTCTGCAAGATGTTGAAGATCTCATGATCCCCAAACCGTCCAAAGTGAGACCGAGCTAAAAGGAAAAGACAGGAATTTCTGCTCCCTCAGAGACGGGAGCTGCCTTCACTTCAGACGCGGCTTAATTCCACATGCCCCCCCCCCCAAGGCCAGTTCCTCCATTAAGCAAAGCAAAACTGCCA